TGCAAAAAGGCGGAAAGCATCCATCATTGTAGAAAAATGGTTGCAAATATGTTGTTGCTATCGGTTTTTATTAGCATGGGTAACTTATGTTGGTTAATTTTAATTAAACTTGAAATTGAACACACATATTTTTATTTTTATTTTTAAAAAATGAATCTATTAATATTACTCTAATACGTAACGTTACTACGAATTTTGTATAATGTCTCATATATAATACTGGCAATTATTAAAATTGCAAATTACAACTCAAATAATTGTACTAGCTAGTATGCATCATAGTCAAATTAAATTTGCAAATTACAACTCAAATAATTGTACTAGCTAGTATGCATCATAGTTCAAATTAAATTTGAGAATGTCTCACACAATAGTAGTGCAAAGTGGAAACAACAGGGGGAAGAATATTTTACTACAAAACTGTAAGGCTCCTCTACTTTGCTTTGGAAAAGTAATGATTTTTCAAGAATAATTTCAATCTTTTTCGAAAATATTTAAACTTTTAAACTTCTTAGGGCACCTTATTTCTATTTCTTCTAACTTGCTGAAACTGATTCGCCTTTAAAACTTCACTGAAGTCTTGCCCTTAAGTTCTAATGGGAAACTCTCTTCCCAAATGCTAACTCAAATTCTCATCTTATACATAAAGCAAATTCACATGCAATAAAACTGAAAGTTTCAAAACATTCAAACAAAGTCTCAAATACATGCTAAACGTCTGAAAACATCAAGTTCTGTATAGTTCTTAGCGGAAGCATAAAATTGAATCATAATAAAAGGACCATCCTCGCTCATCGTGTCCATCACCAACTCGATTAACCTGAGGCTACGTTTGTTTTGAGGGATTTGAAATCCCTTGATTTTAATATTTTTGAAATATTATTTTTTACTTGCACACTCCTTCAATGGATGTGTTGAAAATATTATAAATCAATTGTCTAGCTCGCACCGATGGTGTTGACTCATGGTGGTGATGAACCTATATGATCGCGGACGGCGTGGTCGTCAATGTTTGTCCCATTTTTGTTACGTTTTTTCATATTGTTTTGTCGTTCTTTTTCCTCCATTTTAGGTATTTTTGTTGGTTTGTAGTTCATTTTGTTGATTATAGCGTGTTTTCCTTTATTTTGGTTCTTTTTGTGTTTTTGTATGTTTTTCCCGTTTTTCTTCTTATTTTTGGTGTGCAGGTCAGAGCCTGTAAGGAATAAGTTTAGCTTGAAAACGGGCCAAAAAATCAGGATTAGATAGATGTGTTCGTTGGCTACAAGTAGAAAAAAGCAGAATCCGATTTTGAGTTCGGACGAATCCAGACGGGCCCGATATGTGAAGTCGTGCACGGAAGCCGCCACCTTCAAATCAAAAGCTTTGAGAGTATAGGTTTTCAATAATAAGCTGGATTCAAAATCACAATTACTTAGAAGGCTTCCTTAGCGACGCATAGGAAAAAACGGAATCAAATTTCGAGTTCGGACGAGTCCAAACGAGCTTGAGAAGCAAAGTCGTGCAGCAGTCCCGCGCGCCGCGGCGCGGCAACCCCTCCGCGGCGCGGGGCATAGCACCACGCCGCGGTGCACATCTCCCTTGCGCCGCGGCACATGTTCTTCACGCCGTGATACTTGTTACCTATATATTTGTGCGGGACTCGATCAGAAAAGGAATTCTCCCCTTCTGGGAAACGAAACCTAGGCTCGTAAAAACACAAAAAACTTCCTTTCTCATTCTCTCATTCTTATCCATCGTTTTTCCTCTTCTCTTCACCATTCTTTTTCATTTTTTTTTTTCCTTCTTAATAATTAGGATTAAGCTTGTAACTTGGATTCAACTCTTGAAATTGGATTGATTGTAAGTTTTTCATCTTGTTTAATTCATGAGAATGATTATTTGGGGTGAATTGCTTGAATGTGTTGAATTCATGATACATAGCTAATTTTGATTGCTAGGGATAGGGGATAATTGTCCATGTTTCACGTGTATTTGTCGGGCTAAAATTGTTCATGCTTATGTGAGTTAATTTGATTAGGAATTGATGAAATTATGCTTGATAGTTTGATGTAATCGAAGGGTGACACTTCGATCTTGCAATTGGTAATACTTGGATATTGAGTTGTCGAGTTTGGTTTTGTTGATTCTCGATAATTAGTTGATTAAACACCTTCTAATTGAATTAGCGGCTTTTATAACCGAAAGGGGAGAAGTCGTAGACCTAGGCTCGCATGAGGCAGATAATTTCGTAATTGAATAGTCTATAGGTTTTGGATTGAAATACGTGTTTGTCAATGACCCGTCCCTTGTTACGAAAAGTTATTGGGATTGGATAATTGATCTGTATTGTATGCTCGAGCTTGTTCGTCTATGTTCAATCTCTTGTTACGAAGAGTTATTGGGAGCGAACCGCTAGATGTTTAAGCGAGAGTGTCAATCTGG